TGATAATCTGAAGGTCTTGGATTTGAATCCCGATGGGGACATACGTTTTTCTGAACTTATTATCATCTTTAATTAACACAGAGCTATACTTGATACGACCATTGCATCATAAATATATATAATATATACAATATATGCACTGTTATTATTTATAACATTTACAGTATTCGTGTACTAGCGATAATACCGACCTGACACCCTCAGATTCACTGAAGGCTTCGATTCTGGCGCTAAAGTGTTGGTTTGGAGCGATAACTTCACAAAGCGGCGAACTGATTTGTATCTTCCGACAAGGGAGTTCTATAAAATAAAATGAGTCAGTCCTATCTTTGCATTATTTCGATTTTTTTTTTTGTAATTTTCTGTACCTATTGTATGTCAGATAAATTGTCTTCCAACCATGTGTAGAAGCGTTTGTTGCAGCGGTTGACTCGTACTCTCAGGCCTGTTTCGAGGTTTGAAACTGTCGCTGTCCAAGTCGCCTATGCCTTGGGAAAGACACAATTTATCTGCGTTTCACTCTGTTTACCCAGGAGTGTAAATGGTTACCGGCATGTTGGGAAGGTAAACAAACTCATTGTGGGAAGTGGCGACCCCTCAAATCATCGAGCAGTCTGGCCTCCAACGCTTAAGAAACATGGATGGCCACTCTGGACCTGCACAGATTCGACTACATTTTCGTTATTTACCTTGTATACTAACCAACCAACCAACTTTGCTTATTAATGAAGGTACCGGTAACTCAGAACAGCAAGCCTGGTGAGGCCCATAAAATTAAAAATATTTAGACATATTTAGCCTGCACTAAACAACCCTTAATATGTATGATTATACTTATTATAAGTCAGTCGTGTACACTTTTTTCATTAGGATAGGGTTTGCTTTAACCAAGTAAACAATAAGTATTTACCCAATGGGTACACATATATAAGAAATTGTAGAGGTATTTTGCTTAGTGGTAGCGTTGACTCTTTGTCAGAAAAATCTTCTATCATGACCGCTACACCATACCATCCAGGAGCTTTTCCAGCTGACGAAAACGTTATCTCGCATCGATTCTACAGTAAAATAATACGCCATACATAAATATTTCATGTGATTTAAAGAACAAATCGTTTTTATTTAATCATTTGTAGGGAATAATATTAATAATGTCACGTTATAGATGGCTTTAGTAATACAAAACCATCGGCATTACCGTCATGGGGTTTGCGGAACCAAGAATCTATAGTTACAAGGCCAATTCCCTAACTACCAAGTTACGAACGCAATAATAATAATAATAATAATAATAATAATAATAATAATAATAATAATAATAATAATAATAATAATAATAATAACAATAATAATAATAATAGGCCTAATCATGATAATAATAAAAATAATAAAATAATAATAATAATAATAATAATAATAATAATAATAATAATAATAATAATAATTTAGTGGTTATATATTTATGAATTTTATAATTGTACTGTGCCTCGCCTTTTTGAAATACAGTAGTCCTTAGCCTGTTGGTATTTTTAATGTTTTTTGTTTTTGTTTTTTTTTTTTTGCTTTTGTTTTTGTTTTTTGTTTTTTGCTTGTTGATATAACACAAGTTTTTACTACAATGTTATATTTGGCAATTCTTATTTAAACTATTTTCATGGGTACTATTTACCGGTATATTGTATGTTTATGAAGTTTTGAAATACGATATACCATGAGATAAATGAATGAATCACATACATTTGATGGATGGAATGACCATTCTAATTATAGACGGTTTCTTTCCCATTATATCTAATCAATAGGTCTATCTGTTATGTCAAAAAAAATATTTTACCTGTCATGTTAATAGGAGAACAATGACATCAGTGTTATATAAATTCATTTTAAATATTGTAATAATAATAATAAATCATCACGTTCTTATGTGTTAATTATTTATGAATTTTATATTTGTACTCTGGTTCTTTGCTTTTTTAAATATTGGTTTTTTTGTATGTGTTATTGCCATGGTAATTGTCATGGTATATTGAAATACAATATACCATGACAATGGAAGAATGAATCACAGACATTATGATGGATGGAATAACCATTATCTAATTCTAGACTGTTTCTTTCCCATGTCCAATCAATATCTGATATGTCCAAAAACTTATTTTCTTAATAACCTACACATCATTCCAATGTACAGCTTGGGTGGGCCACCGACAGAGAACATTACAATTGTACATTACAAACCATTGTTTGATTGTCCTATCAATATCTGATATGTACAAAAACTTAGTTTACGTGCCAATAGGTAGAACGATGACGTAATTGTTATATACATTCGAGTAATACATTCTAGTTAAATATTGTACCCGGATATTTAAAAAAATATAATGCTATTATCTTTTGGAATCTCTCATCAAGACTTACTTCATCCAATAATGTATCGGTTGTAATAGGTCCGCAGACTGATTTTCCATACAAATTGTAGGGCGGGCATTCGTCTTTAGAATATTCCGACCAACGACAGCGTACAACGTCATCGTCAGCATCTAAGGCTATTAAATATATTTAAAATTATATGTAATGATTGGTAAGCCATACAACTTTTTTTTACATTAAAAAATTTGAAATAAAATGCACAGCATAAAATGCCATTTTAAACTAAAAGGTTATCGAAGGTTCTCAAATGCAACATCAAAATAAGTTGCAAGTCAAACCAAGATTGCATCACACAGACGTATAAGCGAAATTACGTAAAGTATGCATACAATTAAAAGCGATAATCTATACTACTGTAAGTTACAAAGGAAAGTAAATACATAGATAGAAATATACATATCAGAAAAATGAATACAGTATACAAAAGTTATGAATTTAAAATTTTGTATTAGATAACCATACATAATATCTTTGATTAGTCAAAAATATCAAAATATAAGTCTATAACCAGGCCAAAATGAATCGTGTCCTGTCATTTCATGTACAAATCGCCTCTGGTGGGTATCAAATTATGGCAATCCACCACACCAATCAACAACAGTTTAATCCATGTTGCTGTTTAATTTGCTATTTTAATCAATTGAACTACATATACCAGGCTCCACCTATCTAGCTGCTGACTGACTATTTCTATAGACTTTTCTACCCTACAGAATCTCTATTGTCAGGCCACTAGCCTCCCGGTGTGTTATTATATTATTGTTTATTAAGTTTTGACACTGTAATAACAATATGGATATTTCTCTACTTACTAGGAATCCTTATTTTGCTGGAGCAGCCAGATTGAACCCGTATGATGGGCAGCATAGTTGTTGCCGGTGACGAATTTGGACGACCAGTGTCTGGTCTTACAGTGAGGTCTACAGAACTGACCATCTTGTAAAAGTTAGCTTGTCCGTAGTTCTGAAGTTGAATCCAATTGCTGCCTCCGTACGTTTGCATCTGGTCATCGAAGCGAAATCTGTGTAAAAAATAATGATGCTGATTATGATATAATGAAGAGTGATTATGAAGGTGATGTTGAATATATTGGAGAAGATTTTTTTTTTTTAAATTTCACTTTTTTCATTTTTTCCAAATTTGAATTTGGAATTAAACATTTCGGCCATAGTGCGGCACCAGTACTAAATGTTCACTATTCCGCCTAAAGATCGAATACAATACGATGCTAGCCGGATATGAACAAAGGTCTCAGCACAGAAATATTACCCCTCGGCCAAACGCTGTTGATGAATAGCATTTTTTCACATCAAATATCAATTAAACTCGTACAACTACCGTAAAACCAGGGAACAGTGAAAACGCTTATAATAATAACCAGTTACTCTATTAGTAGGCGGAACCCCCGACCCCTCTAATACTAACCCACCTTAGAAGTTAATCTATATAATAACCCACTACTCAGTTACCAAAACTATAGAAAAAATGACATTCAAATCAACAGTTTTGTCGCTTTAATACGATTTATTCCTTTAAATGAGCAATTTCCACAATGTGATTGCGCCTTTGATGATCCTTTTTTAATTTACTCCTCGGTCAAAGTTCCAATTCAATGATATTTTAGTATAATTTTTGAAAGTTAAAAAAAAAGATGATGTGTTTTAAGTTGTAGTGGGGTTTGGTGACTTAAATTATGCATAATTAACAACGATAATCTATAATACTACTGTAAGTTACAAGCATTTAAGTGATATAAGCAAAAAAATGCATATCACGGTAATTTTGCGTTTAACCTAGCTGCAGCTTGTTTAAATTCTTTAAAAAACGCAAATTGCGTTTATATAATTAAATAAACTGTCCAAAAGAATTCTTTAAATGGTCCTCATATCCACACCATTCTCCGGATCGTCACCAAAAGTTGATCATTTCTACATCGGACCATGAAAAGATATTCTGAAAAATTTCATTTCGATCCATTTATAACTGGGACGTAAGGACTTTAAATAGATCAAAATCACACCCGAGATGCAGAAATATCAAAATTTATTTTAAAAAAGATACACATTTACATCTCAAAATTCGTCACCAAAATTTAATCATTTCTTTATTGGATCATAACAAATTATTATGGAAATTTTTATTTACACCCATCGATAAATGGTTGGAGATAATAAGGTCTGGGAAGTTTATTTAAATGACCTTCAAATATGCACCCAAAACTGGAGCGTCACAAAGTTTATAATTTCTGTAATTATTATAGAAAATTTCGCTTTGACCCATTGATTAGGTTTTTGAGATACTGTATCTAGGTCTGACGTCAGACATTTAAATGACCCTCAAATAAAATAATAATAGGATTAATGATGATGATGATTATGATGATGGTGATGTCGACGATGATAATGGGGATGCTAAGAGGATTATTGATTGAGGCTGCTTACTCTATATTCAACGATCAGTTTTAATATTTTTTTATTTGAATTCATCATGTGCTAGGTACAAGTCCTTCAAACAAAATATATTTTCCTTTTGTACATTAAAATAATGAGATATACTTACGTAATATCGAAGATATTACTCTCGAATGAATATTCATATCTGCCTACACCGGTTGCCCAGTCTTCTTTCGTCGCTTCTCCTGCGTCACTGAAATCTGTACAGTTGAATGCCATATCCGTGATAATCTTGCTGCTACACTGTTCGCAAAGTAGGTAACCCTCTCCCGTCAACTCTTGACCTGGTCTCTCACATCGGAATCCAGATGCAGGTGCGTATGAACGTCTCCAGGAAACCCTCCAAGACAGTAGTACCTACCCACCGAACACACGAACAAATCCGATGATATTTAAAAAATAATGTATTAACACAGTCATACAGACAGTTTGACCAGTGCTTGTATGCAGTGGTGTGTAACACCATTGGTTAAAGCCAGGGGCCAAGGATAAATCGACATTTTTTTCTCGGATCATGGCCTCAAATCAGCTAAACCGGGCCCTTTAAGACGGGTACTTACTGAGCCCCGGCCGCCCGACTGTCGTTAACCGATGCGATTCTATGAAGAACGCAGCGCCACGTCGCGCGCGCAACGGATCGTTTTTAATGACGATCCATTCAGACTGCCACCGAAAATCAGCAGACGGCGTCGCGTCGTCTAGCGCTCACAGGGAGTGGAGTTGAATTCGTCATACGGCGGTCGTAGGACGCAGTGGATGCTCGGTTTTAAAGAGCAAGAAGTGTAATAATGTAGAAGTGGTTGGCGCATCGGTTGTGGCTTGGACTCCCAACCTTGAGGTCGGGGGTTCGAAACTCTGGCTGTGCAAGTCGCTTGTGTCCTTGGGCAAGGCACTTTATCTACGGTTGCCTCTCTCCACCCAGGAGTACAAGTGGGTACCTGGTAGGTTCCAACACTGCGCTGATTACTAGCTGCAATATTATGGAGATATAATTTAATTTAATAATTTCGTTCAGTGTTCAATGTGATCCATATGTGTTTGATCCAATGACCGGGGTAATAATGTGAAGCGCTTAGAGGCTTTGTTAAGGCATTAAGCGCTATATAAGAACGACATATTATTATTATTATTAATAAAATACCAAAATACAAAACCATCAACAATGCCGTACCCTACCGTAGCCTTACGCAACCGGGTTAGTAGGCCCCGAAGATGCCGCTCTTATAGCCTGGAGCCCCAAGCCTATTTTTCATTACACCCTAGTTAGAGGTGTTTCCAATAAAGAGATCGGGATTTCGATCCAAGATTCAATTTTTTTGCTTCTCCACCCAAGATATACCGAGAGTAGTTTGATGAAATACTCATGCTGCGCTGCATACGGATACGAATATAACCATGAATTTTTGAATACTGTATGTGGAACAACAATCAGTGATAAGGTACGGTACTGCACGCGCCTACAAGTACCGTATTATATGCGCTTTAGAAATGTATGAATTATTAATATGTATGGATATTGCACAATGTATAATATATATTGGAAATGAATGAAAGTGGAATGAGTACCGTGAGTGTAAAAGGACATGAAAAGAAAGTTTTGTTGACATCTGGGTTTTTTTTTTAACGCCAAAACTAATCTCATAAAGCTACAGATGATTACCTAAATTCTGTTTAAGTAAACTTTTCTGTTTTTTTCTATCTTGTTTTACCTTGTCGATTTTCTTTTGTGTTCAGGGCCATATCCAAGAAGGTTTTGCAAAATAGAACAACTGGGCTCAAGCGGTAGTATGTTTTTTTCTATGTGAATGTAACGATACATGTTAGCGATGTATGTAACTGACAGTGTACAGATGTAAAGATGCACGAATACTAAATTTAAAATGTGTAAACATTCAAGACGATTTAGTTATAGCAGAATAGTCGCTCAACGTGCCAGTCTCATAAAAAAAAATAGCATTGCCTATAGTGCAGTCGTTCTTTTTACTCGTATTATTCTTTTGTTGGAGGATATTTCCTATCTCAAACACACACCCCTTCGCCCAATTCGTGAGCGAAAATACTCCACTCGGCTTATATACAGAAGCACCCAGTACTTTATCGCCTGGCCCTGGCTCGCCGTCTCGCCACTGACTAGACATCTAACAGCTTCCCGCCGTAAACCTTGTAAAAAAATATAGGAAACTAATAGGAATCGTTCTTAATTTCAGAGATGTCTGAACCCATATGTTCAGGATGACAGCCGGGGCGCTGCCGTTTTTGCTGTTCACCCACTGGAAAGCGCTCACGATTCTAAGTTATCTCTAATCAATACTCATTAAAACTTCTCACCTTGTTCGGATTGGTTGGCGATACTGCCCACTTAATGGTTCCTCCGCGGTAGTGAGATGCCAGTGAGTTCGACAAGGCCAACCCCATGATGGTGACAAAGAGAAAAGACATGTTCTCTCGTGATTCGTGATATACGAAATGTTTGATGAAAATTCAGAATTACTAAGTTGTGCTCTGCTTAAACGACGAATATCGACGTGGCCTAAAAACCAAAGGCTTTTATAAACCAAAATGGAAACTCATGCAGAGGAGAAGTCAGTATTTAAGCCATTTTTCCTGTTTGCAACCAATTTATACTGGTATTGATTACATATTTTTCAATATCCTCTAAAGCTGAGTGGTTTCAATTTACAGTAAACATATCTCCTATACTAACGAATATTAGACATTGTATAACATAACCAACAGGGACTCTCTTTTATGCCAATTCAGGTCCTGTTTACCTTATTGTCGAAAAATATTGTTTATACTGTAATACCTGTATCTATAGGTTAATTAATTTACGTAGTTTTATACGATACATATGTCTACCTATAATATCATATTATTTCTAAACGTGGTAATAATTAATAAGGATGTATCTTTAAGCATATAAAATGTACCGTACCGATCAATGAAACCGGACCGGATCCTAACAGGCCACTCGTGGTTTCCTCAGAAATTATAAATATTACAAGTTAATGACCAGCCATACGCTTATCATAAACAAAGTTATATTTAGACCATATCTCCATGTTTATATCTATATAGGAGGCTATATCATAGATCCATTAACGCAGTGTTGATTTCTGTATTCAGTGTAAACATAGAGGTCAATCACCCCAATGACCACTACCCCCTACTCGCAATACAAGGCGGCATAAACAAATCAAAATAGACTAGTCATATAGGCCTATATTTTAGGGTTGCCAAAGTGCGAGTCAGCGAGTCATCCAGCGAGGCCCATGCAATTCATGCGAGCCATTGACGGTAATTTATGCGGGACGTGCCAACAATGCAAGTCATGCGAGGCACACAAAATTCCACAATATAAACACGTACAGTTTATAAAACAATTAAAATAGAATGAATTATCTAATTTTAACATAATTATTTTGATGTTAAAAAGACAATTTCCAGCTATCAAGATATCACTTCAACATAGTTACCAACCCGAGAGAATTGAAATGCGTGAATGCCGGCACCAGTTGCCTGGGGTAGGGGGTTCGCTAGGAGTGTTTTTTTGACAAGACAATACCGGGTACATAAAAGCCACGTATAATTTGAGTTTCAAAGTATGTTTAATTTGAGCACCCGAACTATGTAGGCCTACATAAACATTTCAATAATCAAACAAACAAAAAATGGATAGGCATAGTGATTAATTTTTGGTAAAGCGTCAGTAAAATTATTTACGTTACTGTACTTAACTGACTGCGTGCGTGTACTAACTGACAACTGCAATTTCAGTCACTGCATGACCGTTTTTATATTCTTAATAAAACCATTTTTTTTCTAGTTTTAAAAACATTTTCCACTGAATTCGTGATAATTCGTTATCCCATCTTGTGATCCATCATGTCTTAAAAAACAATAATTACACAGATTTATTCAAATAAATGCATCACTTTGAACAAACACCCCCCCCCCCCCCCCCAAACGAAAAAAAAGAAACCAAAGGTCATTTTGAATAAACGCCTAGACGTTTAAATTTTCTTACAATATAAGCATGGACGAATGAAATGGAAGCAACATCATTTTCAGCATTGAATTAATTATCAATGATTTACCCAGTTGAATTAAATTAATGCAGCTAATTAGGGATTTGAAAACCATGCAAAAACACTTTTATCATTAATTATGCATAGTAAACTACATTTACCAGTAAACGCTGGCTCCTCAAATACTCATCTGAAGTGACAATAAACGCCCCGGGATGCTTATTCGAATAAATGCGGCATTTAAAATTATTGCAAGTGCAAGTACGATTACTATCGTACGGGTTGCAGTGGTGCGTCAGCTCTTCTCCGGTAGGAGGTTAGTCCCCCGACAGGTGGACTAGTACCCCCGATATCCTTTTTAAATAAATTCCATAATTAACACAAAATTCCTCCCAACCCCCCCCCCCCCTTGTCGGGGAGCTTAAACCCCTCATCCGGGAATTCCAAGTTGTGGTTATGGTCCTCAGAAGTATAGAATAACCCCATACTATTTTAATATCCTATGCATTTATTATTTATTTATTAATCTATCATAATAAGTCTAAGAACAAAAACATCAATTATTATCAAACGTGATTAAACATGCAGGTGGGTACGACTCGGCCATTCAGATTTCATCCCTCTTCTTCGTCGGTCGCCCTCTCCTGATCCTGTTGGTATCGAGGTTGGCGAGGCGTCGTCGCGACTCCTTAGACTCTTCCATGGATATGATCGGGCCGTGTTAAGTTCTGAAGTCACTTTTTGATGGAAGGAAATGTTTTGGTTTTAGTATTACTCTGTGAGAAGGTCATATGAATATCATAATTTATGATAAAATATTGTCAAAACGTTTCTTAAATGTTGAATCATCAAAAAAGAAGTAAAATACACCGAGTATATAATCATTGTTATCATAATAAGTGAAATACGGTACTCAAGACTTTGTTGTGCTTTCCGAAAGTAGACAAATATTTCAAACACAATAATAAAAAAAACTTCAATGATAAATTACACCGAGTATATTACATTAACTTGTAATATTGATTGATTCCTCAATTAATTTGTGTAGGCACATTTCCAAAAACACAGCTCCTCAACATATCACTTGCGCAATATAAAAAGGATTAGGAAGTACCTTTATAGGAAAGCAACTGACCAATTACTGATTCATGCATTTGTTATTTCACATCTTGACGTCCATTTATCGTCTTACACTGTTGCGGAATACATCTGCTGGGATTATTACGGGAAGTTTGAGCACATCACTCCGATATTACAAGAACTTCATTGGTTACATGTTTTTACTCATTACATTTAAAACACTGAAAGAAGGTCCAAAGTATCTACGTGAACTGCTGGTGTGATATGTACCATCTCGTACACTCCGCTCTGGTTCTGACAAACTTCTGCTTGTTGTCTATTGGGTGAGATCATTTGCGTTTGCTGCACCACGCCTTTGGAATAAACTGCCACCATTTAATATTCGTTCATCCCACTGAACTGCTTTGTTTAAAAGGGCTATTAAGACACATCTGTTGTCAGCTGTTTGTGCAGTTTCTTTTTTTCATTATTATATTTTTGAGCTGGCTCAGTTAAATTGTTTAGTTAGACACTCCCATTAGGCCGGCCCTGTGCCTCAATGTAAACGGTGCGGTGATGTGTGTGGTGTTTCAATTTCTGATAGTTTTAAGGTTCATTGTCCCCCACCCTTTTTTTGGAAAGTTAAAAAAAAAGAAAAAGAAGGAAAGAAAAAGAAAAAAATATTGATCACCCAAAACGCATCAGAGGTTATTTCCGGGCGTCTATAAAACAAGAAATTCGAGGGGTATGCCCCCAGACGACCCCCTCCCCTTTCAGACATCTCTGGATCCGCCTCTGGTTGTTATTATATATATATAATAATAATAATAATAATAATAATAATACTAATGGTTTTATTCGACTGCTTCATTTCGTTAAGTACGAATTTTCGTTGAGTATTATTTTCATTCGAGACTTGTTTTTAAAATAGACTTCGTTGACAACGAAAACTAACGTAACCAGAATGTGATAATCAGCGTTAAATCAAGGTAATAGACCTTTCCGGAGTGTCAATCAAACTTATCAACTGACTAATCAGAACAGCGCTAGGGATACGCGGGCGTCTCACAAACACACGTGTTGTCCCACAAACGCACGTGTTCGCGTATGTTTAACCAAAGATACTAGAAATACAAGATAGAGTTCTCGCATTGTAAAAATGAGGCGGAAGTCGTGC